CCTCCGGATCGGACAGCCTCCGCCTCTTCCCGCCCTCCGACGCCGCCGAAACGAAACCCCCCGCGACGGAGCTCCTCTACCTCGGCACGGTGGCCAACTCCGTCAACCCCGCAACGGACTCCATCTCCAGCCACGACGATGACGATTTCCGGCCACCGTATCACAAACTCAACGACTCGCCGGAGCTCAACCCGCTGCCACCACTCCCGCGTCACAAATTCAATCCATGGATGAGTGAAGTAAACGATGATAAAGAAATAAAAGAACCAAATGATGATGAAGAAGAAGTAGAAGAAGAGGAAGAAGAGTTTTTCTCTCCAAGAGGTTCTTCTGAAGAAAAAGAAAACAAACAACAACACAGTCCTCCACCTCCTTCTCCTTCTACTCTTCTCAATGCTGGTGCCGCTTCAACCTCACGTGTGTTTCACGTGGATCAATTCGTTTCCACAACCTTCACTTCGTACCCTCGTTCCAATTCCCTCTCTTCTCTCAATTGCAGCCCCACTAGCGTCAAATCGTTGCCTCTTAACAACCCCGCTTCTCCTTCTTTCTCTTCCTCTTCTTCTCCCCGGGAGGAATGGCAGGGAAAGACTTCTCCGGCGACAAATTTACCTCCTCCGCCGCCGCCACCGCCGCCACCTCCGGTGCGGTTTTGGGAGACCTCGCCAAGTGTTGGTGTTAGGAGTGAGAGTGAGGACACCCCAAAGCCAAAGTTGAAAGCTTTGCATTGGGATAAAGTTAAGGCTAGTTCCGACAGGGTCATGGTTTGGGATCGCTTGAGACCCAATTCTTTTCAGTAAGACATCCTCGTAATGTTTTGTTATGTTGTGTTTTGTTTAAACAACTGATGAGTTGTGTGGGGAGATTAATGATTGGATGTGCAGGTTGAACGAGGACATGATTGAAACGCTTTTTATGGCGAATAATTCTAAGGAGAGTTTTGGTGTTGCGACTAGAGACAACAATGCTAGGCGTCCAATACTTCATTCAGCTTCTCCCATGCCTCACGAAAATAGGGTGCTTGACCCTAAGAAGTCTCAGAACATTGCCATTTTGCTTAGGGCGCTCAATGTCACTATTGACGAAGTTTGTGACGCCCTCAGGGAAGGTCATCATTTATTTTCCCCTCTATGCACTCACCTTCTACCAAATAAATAAATAAATAAAGATGGATCTATATTTATTTAAATTCTTACACTGGACTGCTTATGCTTTTTGGTCATTTTACTAGCATTATGCCTGTTGTATTATTGTCTGTGTATGTATGGAAGATAGTGCTTGCATGACATTTATAGCATTTTCAAACTTCATTATCATTCACGGGATGGTATGCCCCACTCCCATATCTTCACTGTTTTTTGTAGTTCATGATTCATTTCTTACGGCACAACAACAAACCTTTATTTTACTATGTATTCTCCATATCACAGCATCCTATTGTCTTTCGTAAAACATATTATATGGTGCTATTCGCTTTTCCTTCTTCTTGCTATCCTTATTTTTTTTTTTGGGGGAAATATTAAAGCTTGATTTTGCTGTCTATAGGCCATTGTGATACATTGGGAACGGAACTTCTTGAAAGCTTATTAAAGATGGCTCCAACTAAGGATGAAGAGTCTAAGCTGAAGGAGTTTCATGATGAGTCACCCTTCAAGCTTGGTCCTGCTGAGAAATTTCTTAAAGTCGTGCTTGATATACCTTTTGCGTTTAAGAGAGTGGATGCTATGCTCTACATTGCTAATTTTGATTCAGAATTAGAATACCTTAAGAAGTCCTTTGAAACTCTCGAGGAATATATATATGCTTCTCTCATTTCTCTCTCAATTTGATTATTTTGTTTGCCTAAATGTATTTTAGGATATCGAGAACTAGATTGACCTTTCAGTATCAATGCAGCTGAATGTTAGCTAATATTTTTAACTTACTATTTTAGCTTGCCACATTCCCATTTCACGTTTCTTGTTTAATTACTGTGGTACTCAAAAGATTAGATTTTCCTCGCGTGATTAACAATGATGCTTGCTTTCCAAGTTTTGAAATCAGCCAACTACGGTTTTTCTTTTAGGATGCTAAATTGTGAAAATAACATTATATATTATCATTTACTATTTTAAAAGGGTTACCAAAGATAGAAATTTCCAAAATAATCCTTTTGCCATAATGATCATCAGGAAAAAAAAACACCAATTAGGCACATAACAGTCTTGTATCATTGGTGAGAGTATGTCTAGCTTGACTGATTGCAATTTGTACCAATGCGTCAGTAGTTCTCATATGTCATCCTTTTCCACAGGTGGCCTGTGGTGAATTAAGGAATAGCCGCATGTTTCTGAAGATACTTGAAGCAGTGCTGAGAACAGGAAATCGAATGAATGTTGGAACCAATCGTGGTGATGCTCATGCGTTCAAACTGGACACACTTTTGAAGCTAGTTGATATTAAAGGAACTGATGGAAAAACTAGTCTCTTGCATTTTGTTGTACAGGAAATTGTCAGAACCGAGGGTTCTCATATATCTGATTCAAATCATCACCATACCTCTGATAATACCCACCAATATACACTTCAAGATGAGGTTGACTTCAAAAAGCTTGGACTGCAAGTTGTTTCAGGCTTGAGTGGGGAGCTCACCAATGTTAAAAAAGCAGCTGCTATGGATTCAGACACGCTGAGTTGTGATGTTGCTAAACTTGCCAGAGGAATTGAAAAAGTTGTGCAAGTTGTAAAATTGAACGAGGAGTCACCTTTGAAAGACACCAACCAAAACTTTTTTGATGCAATGAAAGGTTTCTTGAAGAGGGGAGAGCAAGAGATTTTAGCAATCCAGGCCCATGAGAAAAATGCCCTCTCTTCAGTAAAGGAGATAACCGAGTATTTCCATGGAAATTCAGCAAAGGAAGAAGCTCATCCATTTAGAATTTTTATGGTTGTGAGGGATTTCCTTTCAATACTAGATGGTGTTTGCAAGGAAGTTGGTAAAGTAAATGAGAGGACTTTGGTTGGTTCCCGTCAATCTGTAATGCCTGCAATTCCTATAATGCCAACCTTTTTCCCTGAGATTATTATTGGTAAGCAGCCATATGATTCATCTGAATCTGATTAACCTCTCAAATCCTATCTGACCCGGCTGTAACAGGTTCAAGTAGTTTGTACACGTTTGGCCATTGATGGGTTATGTTTATATCATCCAAACATTATCATGTGAAGTGACATTTTCTCTCAAATCCCACCTGAACTAAAGCCAGTCTTTACCCATACCTTTGATGGTGAAAAAAAGCCTATGCTATCACAGCTCTTGTCTTCATATAGATCTGTATATGTTTTACTACCTAGATTATATAATGGGTACATTTTCTCTCCCTTCTGTGCTAGGTTGGCTGCTTCTCTATATTTGTATTCATAAAGATCAATGACAAACTTTGGATTTGTTTTTATCTAAACTTTGTAAATTGAGAAATGTGATTTGTGAGTAAGAAGTTGAAATTACTAACAGTAGTTGTGGCGTACACCGTAATAAAAGGTGTTCAATCGGAAACGTCTCTAGAATGTGGAAACAGGTCATATTCTTGGCTGTGGCATTTCCTACAAAGAACGTGATTGTCAAATAGATCTGTAGAATCATTAAAATCAAACCAGACTCTGATAGTGTGAAATATATGATTGTGACTACAGTTTGGACATTAGTGTATTGTGGCCAGTGGCACCATCATTAGGTCAATTTAGTACGAGTGTACTACCTTTCAAAGGAAGAGTGAATGCGGTCTTAATGTCATCATCTGTTAGGGCATTTCCTATAGAATCAACTTATTTGAGTTACTTCATGTATTAGAAAATAAAAAAAGTGATCCCCAGTGTGTCATGTTAGCATTAAGCAACTCAAACAGAAATTTGTTCCAATGATAAGAAATTTTAAGAAATTTAACTTTTAGAATTTTTTAATTTTTTTATTTTTAATTTTTATTTCTTATTTCTTTAAAACATCTCTTTTTCTTCTTCTTCTCTTCGTGAGAGGATTTTTTTCATTTTTCTCACCTTTTCTTTTTTTCCAACTCCACCTTCAAATTTCGTCAACCGCCGCCGTCTCCGCGCGCAGGTCCAGCTAGAACATCCACCTGCGGGAGAATGTCCACCAGCGCGCCTCCGCTGTCCACCAGTGTGCCTCCGCTGTCCACCCGCGACAGAACGTTCACCTTCGCTGTCCACCGGCGCGCCTCCGCTGTCCAACCTCAAGCCTCCTTCAGTTCACAAAAAGTAAGCAACCGTTGCTTCACTAAGCAACCCTCTCTCCTTTGCGAAAAACTCTTATTGCCACCTCAAACCTCTCCAATGGTAAAAAACTGATGTTAGAGTTGCTTGATGAGCCAAGCAACTCCCATTGAAGTTGCTCTTAATATTTGTGATGAAAGAGACATTGGTTCATATGGCTTGAGGTGTTTGACACGTTGATTATGATTGGAGTGTAAAAAATAGACTACGAAAAGTGCGATTATTTATTATTCATTTCAGAGGTTTGAGAATGGCGTTACCTGTTGGTAACTTGTTAACTCCAAAACATGAATGGAAAAGAAACTTCAAATTCCAGATCGAATGAATATAGCTTGCGCAATTGACTTTCGCTCTGTAGTTCAATCCACAACTACGTACGAAAGTTCTACAAGTACTCTATCATAAATTCGTTTTCTCTATACACTTGTTTTCCTTGACCACTTCAAAATTACCATCTTTTTTTACCAAACTCAAGTTCTCAGCATCCATGCGTTCAAGCACCTTTCGTGCTTCCTCTTCTTTAGCAGGAACAACACATCGAACCCTCAACCCATTTTTAACGGCCTCAGGATCAACACCAAATGTGAAGTAGAATCTGTTAGATACCTGTTTGAAGAAAATCATGGAATGAAGTGAAATGATTTAGATATGTGATCATGTGAATCTCAAATGAAAATGAGGCACGCACTTTTTTTTATTCCATTTGATAATAGATATATAGACATATTTGGATAACATTCTCTAAATATACTTCAAGGAAGAAAAAATAGGAAGAAAAATTAAAATAAATTTTTCTGTATGATAAAATTAACTTATGCATGAATTAAAAATGAGATTTTAAAGAAGTTAATGAGAGAAAGATTTTATAAATTAACTTGCACAAAAACTAGTTTTAACTTATAAAGGAACTTGTTTCATTTTTTTTTTATTATCTAAACCCATAATCTTATATTAACTTATAATCCATCTGAATTGTAAAATAAAATTAGACAGGAGATTGCTGACAACACTCCCTGGAACTCTTTGCTCTCAGAAAAAACACATTATATAAGACAAATTTTTCTGATATATCTTTTCATTAATAAAATTGTGGGAAAAGGAAATTTGTGTGCATCCTGAAATTTTAAGTAAAATACTATTATATTATAGTGCTCACCTCACTTAAGCGGTGCTCAGGCTTTGTCACATGTGCAACAACTTCTACATTCACCAAGGGCTCAGCTGTGTTCTCACGTTCTGTGTACAGAACACAAGACTTTAGACGAAGAAAATTTCCGACGTCCACCTGCATCATCAAGTTGTTTTCGGTTCAATGTCATAAGAAGAAAAAGTGGCATTAGGAGAATTCAAACCCACACTAACGGGAGAAGGTAGGAGTTTGTACAGGGATCCTTAACTACTTGTGTAAACCTGTGTTCACATAATTTTTTTTCTTCTATTGATATATATATATATATATATAGAGGAGGGTTCAAACGACACCGGTGTAACTTTTACTAAGTATTACACCGCTCAATAACTTTATATTAAATGTGAATTTTGTGAATCTAACCGTTAGATTGAAAGTTCATATCTCTTAGATCATATACACAAAATTTTATAATAATCCAAGATGATTTGATATTTCATTCTCATAAAACAAAACTGACGTAATATATATATTTTAAAATATACTAAAATATGAACACTTTGATTACCTTCAAATTGTTGTTCAATTTTAACAAAATTTGACATATATAATCTAAGAGATATGAACTTTCAATCTAACGGTTGAATTTTCAAAATTCACATTTAATATAAAGTTATTAAGCGATGTAACACTTAGTAAAAGTTACACCGGTGTCGTTTGAACCCTCCTCATATATATATATATAACTTTATCAAGGTGTTAAATATTTTTCAACTCAGCTCATGTTCCAAACTGATGATAATATGAAAATAAACAATGATAATTAGAAAAAGAAAATTAGATAAATGAGGTCATGAATCATGATGATTATCTGTTCCCTTAGAGAGTTCCATATACAATACAACCAGAAGGTACTACTGACTTTATTAATGCCATGCAAGAAATGTAGTTCATTATATATTTAGAACAAATAGTGTCCTTGGTGAATAGTGGCTACTTACAGGTTTAAAAAAATCAACGTGATCAACTTCTAAGAAATGAGGTGCTGCACCAACAAAGGCATAAGCAGTTGAAAAGGCAAGTTCAAACGCTCTTCTCATCAAGAATCCCCCAAAGATACGACCATGGATGTTTCTTTTCTGCGGCTGACAGATAAAAGAGTTTTGTTGGCAAGTATCCTTCATGAGGATGCTATCTCTGTTGGCCAATGCTGGCATGTCACAGAAGATACGCCCTTCGGCCAATAGTTCATTGAGCCTATCAGTGTCTCCACTCTCTCCATGTTTTTGTTCTTTTCTTTTTTTCCTTAACTTGTTCCTCTCTTCTGCTTCTTCCCAGAGTAATCTTTCTTGTTCACTTTCAGGTGATATCTGGTTAATTGGGGATGCTTTACCAGTGATGGAGTCACGAGCCACAAAGGTGAAGTTAGCTACAAGTGCAGGTGAGTTTGAGATGTTGGTATTCCCTGTCAGCAAGTTTCAGTGTCGGGTAAGCAAAATTGTTAGAGTATTGAAAGACATAACATCACAAAGATATGATTTGGGCTTAACTAGAACAGCATGAACAGGCTTTTAGTCAAGATTTCTACTTGTTTTGCTATTATCACTTGCTAGTAAATTGAACTATATTAAGAGGCAAGGAAACCATTCTTCTGTCTCTTTTCATTTTATTTACAGAGGCATGTAAGTCTGTAAGAACAGTAAGCCACAAAAACAATGTCCACAGGATGAGAGATACATAAGTTAATCTATGGAAGTTCTTTCAAATTAACTTCTCTAAAAGTTCATTTCAATTTATTTATAAACTTATTTTAATGTATAGGAGAAACTTATTTTATTTTTCCTTCTTATTTTCTTCTTTTATAACTGTTTATGAAGAACAATTTCTCTAACTAGAACTAGGTCTTTAGGAAAACTTTACCCCCATGCAGTGTTTGCACCCCAATCAAACTGATATGCTTCAGATTAATTATTTACTTATACTAATGATTAAGTTCATGATTTTTGACATTTAAATTGGAAACCAATGTCAATGTTTGTTTAGGGATCAAATAGAGCTGTTAAATTTCTTACATTTGCATTCGTACAAGACCACACAATGATAACATGCTGCAATAAATTAAATGAAAGTAAAAATCAAGACGGGAATGAATTCTCTCATGTGACATTTTTAATTGGATTCTCTTATGTTAAAATCTCCACCATCAAAACCCCATATCTTTATTATTATTATTTAAATCTTCTCTCTCTTATTCTTTATTAAGGATTTAGATTTCATTGAATAAAAATATTCAATATCACATGAGAGGATCCAAATCCAATATAGACACACGCTCGAAAGAAAATTGAGCAAAATTCACAACACGCAATGCAAGTATTAATAGAACCTATAAAGGTAATGGTTATTAGTAGCCAAGTTTGTTAGTTATAACCGAGTACTCTCTGTAACTAAATTGTTATTTGTCGGTTGTTTGGATAAGCTTTACTAAAATCACTTATAGAAAGAGAAAATAGAAAGGAAAAATGAAAATAGTTTCTTCATAAGCCAATTTATAAAAGCTCTCTCATATTAATTTTTCCAAAACTTATTTTTGACTTGTGCATAAATTAATTTTAATTTATGTAAAAGCTTTTATTTTTTCTTCTTGTAAGTACTTTTGGAGAATTTTAATCAAACAGACGTGTACATGGATTAGCGAGCTGCATGCACATAGTTCTCACTACCTTTTCCCTATAAATAGATGTTTGCATTCTCGTGTCAAATCATCTAATTCAACCATAACGAAATTAAACGAACTGATGGAGCCTCTGCTCTATTTCCATCTATATGATGTGTTCCCTCATTAAGTTTCTGATTCTTAATATGTACTATATATAGTAACACGTCAAGTGTTTGCTTCTAAGCACTCACTGCAAGTGAAAAGTATAATCACATTCTAAACCATAATCCTACATAAAAACAACGGTCTTAGAAAGCAGAATCAGCTTGTATTAATCGTGCAGTACCTTGTGCCGACTGAGTCAATTCCAGTTGAATCTCCATGGATGAGCGGCCAACCCAGGTAACAGCACCAACAATGATGAAATCAGCATCAATATGGATTGGCTTATTAAGAACCATCTTGTCAACGGCAGCAGTGACCAATAGAAGGGGCCTTGTTGTTCCATCTTCATTAGAACAGTGCTGCTCAAAAGAGAGGAATAAACTTCAATATCCAAAGTTCCAAACCATACAAATACGAAAAACCTTCCCCGCATTTAATAGCCATGTATCACAGCGTAAAATAGTGTTATTTATGACTTTTAAATAGTGTTTTAAAAGGCAATAAATTTATTATGTAGTAGTAGTAGTAACACATGACAATCTTTGATTAGATTTATATACGGTGGATGCATAGATTATTTTAGTTTAATAGCTATGCACATGTCAACCAATCATAAATCTGTTTATGATTAATGATTTTCTCATCAACAACCAATACTACTTATGTTACCCTTTGAAGTGAGTCGCTAACGCTAGAGTAGTCGGATCGAACTAGCAGAACATAAAAAAAAGAAAAAAAAAAAAAAAAAAAAAAAAAGAAAATGTGGAAAAAATTCAAGAAAAAA